GCCGCTCTTCAAAAGCTCCAATTGCTGTTTCATCTGCTTGGACAACTCTTCGCCGTACAGTGCCGTCTCCTCGTACTCCGTTATTTGACCCATTTTTTTGTAGTAGCGCACAATACTGGACGACCATTGCTTGACATTGGCCTTGCGACGCTTTATCATGCGTTTTAGACGCGGATCGAAGAGCAGGAGGCGCGCCCGGCGTAGGAGCAGCACCCGGTTATTGCGCTTACGCCAGGCATAGATGCGCAGGACACAGCGCGGATTTAGCGCATAGATGATAAAGCGCTTGGCATTGGCCCAGTTCCGGTGCAGAAACTCCTGTGAAACGGGATATTTGCGTTTCAGGTGAAGAAATTTTCTCAACTCTTTGCCCTTTAGTACAATTGGCGGCAGCTCTTGTGTCATTCTAGAAAAACGAAAAGTCCCGTTACAAGACTACATATGTATAAAATAATATCTAAAAACTAATCGTTAGACTTTGATAGGCATATTACAGTACAATAAGCAATAAATATCGATTAGCGAGAGCGCGGGAACATTTACTTTCAAGCATTCAAGACGACAAGTCTGTTTTGTCATGGGCGCCCTCTATATATTATATATAATTAATATAACTCCAGTATTCATATTATTAGTTTCAGTTCAAAACACTTATTTAACCAAAATAATACAAAAAAATAGATGGAAAATTTCGACTTTGAATTTTTCTTACGTAACACCAACGGTCACACTGTTATTGACAGCTCAATATTAATGTTTTTCTAGAAAGTTCTGTGAACAACAGCAAATCTCTTAAACCGTCTAAGCTCGATATACTGCACAGTCACGCTACAAAGAAAACTCGTCATGCACTCTATTTCTATTTACAAGTATGAGAAAGACACAATTTTTCTAAAAGTGCTGCCCAGCTAGAGTTCCAAGCGAAATAGGCAGCACTGGTCTAATAATAGATACACACACAAAGCAGACACAAGCACCTGACGGATGAAAATTGAACTAAACGAAAAAACAATTAGGCATGCGACATGCACACACACACACACTTGTAATTAAATAAAATCAATTATATTTACATATAAATACACCAGCTCTTTCTCACAGGACTACAAATAAGCACATTGTTATCGAACAGTTATCGAAATCTACAAGCAGCTCGTATCGAAATATGTGACGGCTGTTAAAACAAATAAACATACATACGTACATGCATTAATAAAAATTACGCACTTTCAAACCGCACAACGGTAGATGAAAAGAGAAAAAAGAAGGGCCCAGCAATTTGTTGTTGTTGTTTTTATTTAAGCGCCTTCGAATATGCCCAACACTCGCACAAACGCTGGTCGCCCCCAACACACACAGACACGACGCCGAGAGCAGCAGCAGCAGCAGCAGCAGAGGCAACTAAAACATTTTACACGCTGTGTTCATTCTCACTGCACATAGACTTTTCAACTAATGCCAACAATTCCAATAACAAATATTTGTGGGCATTGCGCATGTGCGCAATAATTGTTTTAACATGCACTTGATATTATTTAAACTTTGTTTGATATTCAAGAAGAACGCGTGCGAATATTTTGCGATCACAAACAGCTCTGTGTGGGCCCTACGACGACTGGCCTGCATGTGTGTGTATGTAGGCGACGTGTGAGTGTGTAAGTCCATTCTCAGGCGTTCCAACGAAATGCAATGGCAATGGCACAACTGTAGTTGTCATGCTTATGTCATATATGTATGTATGTACGTATACTTTAAGACTACTTCTGCAATGTATGTAGATGTGTGTGCGTGTGCACGTGGGTGCCGATAACCGATTTATTTTGTGAAAGTAAAAGGGAGATATGGCCAAGGGACTATCAAGTTCTGAGCCATTTATAACAATGCGATTAGGGCTAAAATTATATTGCTGTTAGGATTGTGCTCACCTGTCAGAAAAACTCTATACAACCAAATGAAGTGTACAAATCGCGATCTTTACATTTTCTTAATTTTCTCTTAACCTACAACTTATGTAAGAATTGAAGAACTCTCAAATGCAGCTGTGCCTTACTTAATTGCCTCATCATTCCATGCACCTGTCAAACAAATCTATGCAGTTCCCAATAAACACGCATTAAAAAAATCGATAACCTCAAAAGAAAACCAACATGGCGTCGCGTCAACAGATACATACACACGCTACCGCCGATCGCATGCGTCAGAATGTAAAGCACCGACTTCGCCCATCCCTAACAAAGCGAAAAGCCGAATGAAGTTTTTTTGAGTAGCTCAAAATGTCCTGCCACGTAAGAAACTAAATGGGAATAAAAACACTTACCTTCACAAAATTGTGCACACACAGTGCACTGCCGTCCGTTCTAATATCTAATTCCACAGGAATATTAGAATATTTTAACTTTTCTTTCACTTAAACGCGCAATTACTTGCGGCTCTCGCTGCTGACGTCGTAAAAAGCGTAGCACATACGAACGAGTACATACACAAAATTGACACACACATATATCGGCGACTGCTTGATGAATTTCAATATGGAGACCGATAACAGCGCGGCAAGGCAGCAGCGTGGAATGGAACACAGGGTTGTAGAGCGTGAAAACAAAAACTGAAGCCTAGTGATATTCAAAGCTACGAAAATGAGCGGCAAAGTTGATTGGCGTATTAAAGCAAATAATGCTTTCACAAATTCCTAAAAAAGTGTCATCAATAAAGCTAGCAGCAAAAATAGCTTAGTGTGCAAGTTCACTGAGCTCTTTTGACAAGGAAATATTATTTTTAATTTCGCCCAAATCAAGCTAATCGCAATTGGTTGAACCACGTGCTTAGAAGGACGCTAATTAAAACCCAGCTTAACAAACCTTAAATATTAATAGCCTTGGTGGTGCCACGTTTGCAAAGTTCATCACAATATCGTTTAACGAGCGCCTTCTGACAACCCTGTTTTTGATTTCCCTCCAAAAGTACAGCTGAATTAAAAAATATGCCACTGCACAACCCTGCACTTTGAGGTTAGGCGCACGTGTGTGTCCCACTATGAAAATGAACACATGTTTAATTATAATTTGCTTTATTTGTTTGCTAATATATTTGTACAGTAAGGAAAAATAAAATATATATATATAGGAAAATAGTGGCAAGTGATAACACGCATCAATAGGACTGTACTGTACCTGCAAATGCAAAAAATAGAAAATTATAGTTAAATTTGCGTTTATTTTAAATGGAGAATAGTTTCATAGATTTATTGACTTTAATTTCAGTAGGACCTATTTTTGAGGATTGTGTTGTTGCGGATTTTGTGAATCATGCCACAGTTCAGCTTTCCTTTCTCATCATGTTAGAAAATCTATGATTGCCACCACCGTTAATCTTGTATTTTTAAATGATACCCACCTTTTTATTGCAATCAATTATGTTTCTTTTCTGAGTAGGATCCGGAAAAGGCTGCAAATAAAAAAATATACTCTTTATTTTGAGGAAACAATTTTGTATAAATATATGCCAGGATTTCGTTTCAGTAGGACCTATTTTTGAGGATTGTGTTGTTGCGGTTTTAGTGAATCATGCCACAGTTCAGCTTTCCTTTCTCATCAGTTTAAATCAATTAGGGATGTACGAAAATAACGATTGCTTACCTTTTTTAAACTGCATATTCCAAGTAATGTTCTTACGTAAAAAACTGCAAGAAAAATAGAAGACGCTTTAGTATAAGTTTCAAAATTAGCATATATTTATTTTTTGTAAATCAATTTTCAGTAAGACCAATCCTCGCATTCAACATGAGAAGTTTCACTTAGTTTTCAGATAGGGGCGAAAGCTTAATGCTCATCATCTAGAAACAGAAGCTTAATTTCAAACTTAATTATACAATGCTTACCGTAAAGAACGATTTCATTTAAAAGGAATTCATCGAAAGGTATATCTAGAAAAGATATATGTCTTATTAGTAACATATATACAAATTATTCAGATCAAGAAGAGCTATGTTTGGTATCAGTAAGACCAATCTCGCATTCAACATGAGAAGTTTCTCTTAGGTTTCAGATAGGGGCGAAAGCTTAATGCTCATCATGTAGAACGCAGGATTAAATTGGTTGCTTGGATCCAACACTTACCTTTCATTTGATGTTGAAAATAGACGTCCTCGCCAAAAACAAAGCCCCATAGAAACTGAAAGCAAAATAAAGTTGATGAGTAAGATGCCAAGATATGAATTATATCAATTGCTGTGCAAATCTTATTTCAGTAAGACCAATCTCGCATTCAACATGAGAAGTTTCTCTTAGTTTTCAGCTAGGGGCGAAAGTTTATTGATCATCACAGTGGAATATTTTAGCGATGCTTTCTTAAGGATACTAACCATTATTATTGCTGCTAAGCTGCACAGCTGGCTCTGGGGCTGTCTAAACTGTTCTGGAAACACTGTAAAACAAGTAAAAATTTCAATCAAAAATTTATTTTTATACATTTAAAGCAATGCTTTAAGACATTGAACAATATCAGTAAGACCAATCCCGCACTCAACATGAGAAGTTTCTCTTAGGTTTCAGATAGGGGCGAAAGCTTAAGCTCATCACAATTAAAACTAACTTTCAAAAATATAAATGTTCATGGATAAACTTACCTTATAGTTTTCCATAGAGTTCTTTCTGCCTGATTCACGGCCATTGTGCAAATTGTGCGAGCTGTAAGGTATAAAAGCTACGTTAGTAATATGATATGGATGGTAAGAATATTAAAATGTCACTCTATAAAGACAATTTTCAAATCTACTTTGTTATCAAATTCAGTAAGACCAATCCCGCATTCAACATGAGAAGTTTCACTTAGTTTTCAGCTAGGGGCGAAAGTTTTCGCTCATCAGAAGATAACGTAACATTTGAAAATTGTACATTATAAAATTATAATTGGAACTAAAAACTCACCATAGAAATGTAGAGTTGAGGGTGTCCCTTTGAAAAGATCTACAAGTTAAATTCAACCTAATAAAACAGGCTACCAAATGTACAATAAAATTATACAATTTATTGCGTTGCGAATGTCACTTATAAATGCATAGAAAACTTGCATTTTTACAGCTCACATATACAAGATGCCGTCTAAAATTTTAAACTTAACAGCTAAGAAAATGCTCTCAAAATAGTGGAGGACATAGAGCCTAATGCCTAGTTTTATAGAAAGTATGCTATTCCTGAGCCTCTTCTCTATCTCTATCTTTGTCCTTCTTCTTCTTTTTCTTCTTCTCTTTCTCTACAGGTACATCAGCAGCTGATTCCTCTGCAGCTGGCGCCTCCTCCTCACCCTTGTGCTTCTTCTTTTTCTTTTTCTCTGTTGTGGCGGGTGTGACATCAACTGCCGTTTCATCCACACTGGAGGTGCTGTGTTTGCGCTGCAATTAACGAGGTATTGTTAAAGGTAAATTGTATATTAAAATAAATGTATTATGCCATACCTTGCTGGGTTCACTAGAGCCATTTGAGGGCGACGCAGCTTGTGGTGCAACTGCCGCCGCTGGCTTTTTGGCGTTGTAATCCACAAAGCCCGTTAGCCATTCCTTGGGCGTATTCTCGTTGGGCCTGCCAAACTTGTCCAGTTTACCGGCAGCAATAAGCGCCTTCTTGGCTGATGCTTTTGGACCCAATCCCCACTTGCGCGGATATGTGTCACGCTCCATAATCACACGCTTGATCTTGGCCACAACGCCATGATCGCATGAGGACATGGTTGCCGTTGTCATCATGGCGATGGCCAAGCAAATAGCTTCGCCCTTTGTTGTGCATATGACAATCTCCTGTTCGATTTCGATGCCATCCTCGTAGCGCAACACGCCAGGCAACATGATTTTGGCACCATAGCAAACGGCATTGACCTAAATCATATTGAATTAGTTAGTATTTGTGATGTATTAAAGTAAATGTATAATTTTTGAATTGGAATTTGTGGTCTGAAAATAACTTTGTCGGATACACAAGCAAGGCGCAACTCCAACATACACACATCAGCAGCGTTACTGTTCCCAGTCATAGTCACAGACGCAGCTGGTTAAAATACATGCGTCTGCCGGCTTAATATCATGGGGTAGGAATTGAAAATCTGATCTGAAAATGTGAACTTACCGAGCTGTCCTTCATGATGATGCGCTTGTGATTGATAAGAAGGCCCTCCAAGGGCTTGACGACGCGTCGCAGCATGGACTCGTCTTTGTGATTCTCATACAGCCACATGGCATCGAGCACGTCGTGCATGGTGACCATGCCATCGCGTTCCGACTGTATACCGGAGCGCACTCGACGCAGTTCCAACATTTGGCCACCGACGCCGAGGACTAGACCCAGATGGACGCACATGGTACGTATATAGGAACCGGCCTCGCAGCTAACCCAAAAAACACCTAAGCACGTGAGTATCGAAAGACAAAAACGAGAAAGTGTTACCAATAAAACTGTGCATTTGCCAGTGCAAATACTATAATTTTGCTGTAATTTTTATATTTTTTTTGCTTTGGTAGCTCTGCACGTCTCTGCCTTAAGCCGGGCAGCGACGCACCAGCTCCAGCTGAGTGGGTTTATTATGCATTTGGTGACTTACCCATATTACGCGTCTCATCGTAGTCCAGCAATTTGCTGTCGTAGACTGTGCGCACACGAAGCTGACGTTTTACAGCCGATATAAGGGGCGGGCGCTGGAAGAGTGCACCACGCAATTTTTCCAATCCCTGACGCACTTTGGCCACCGATTCAACGGGACCATGTAGTTTAAAAATAGCCACATACTCTTTGCCGGCACTTTGTTGCGATTTGACGAGACGTGTGGCGCGGTCAATGCAGACAATTAAGCAGCCTGTGTTGGAAAATGTGCGTACGCACGTGCGTTAGTTAAAATTTGAGGTTAGGTTGAAAAACACGCACGTTAGAGATGAACAACATCGCTGGGACAGGAAACTATCGCTTTACGACCGGCGAACTTTTCAAATTTATTAAAAATCGTGTCACTTATAATCTTAACTGTCAGAGTATTATAAATATGGCTCATCCCTAGCGCGCACTTATACAACACACACACATATCAACACATGGTTTCAGCTTACCCGTAACCTTCGGATCCAATGTGCCGGAGTGGCCGGTTTTTTCAACTTTCAATATCTTCTTGATCCAAGCGACCACCTCATGCGAGCTGGGATTCGAGGGCTTATCGAGATTTATGAAACCAGTTTTAATGTACTCTTTGATGTCGCGATTCAGCGGCGAGGAGCCATGTGCCAGCGGCGTATAGTGATTGGACCGTATGTTGAGCTTATCAAAATTTTTAAGCAGCAGCGGCCACTGGGATGTGTCCAGCTCGGCTATTTTCGAAGATGGCTTTATTTGAAATTGATTCTGCTTCTGTAGAGTGCCAATATCTTCGCCATCGAGTGGCTCTTCCTTGATTTTCTTCTTTTTCTTACGCGAATCTGTAATTATGTATAACGCATTCCATTGGGAGTACTTTGTTTATGTTATTTTTATAGTTACTTACCAACGTCAGTCATTTTAATTAATTTTATTTAACACACAATGCCCGCGATGCTCAAAGACGTTCGCACGCGGTGCCAGGTTATGGAAAATGGCCGAGTAACACACGTGTTGCAAGAGTTGAGTAATTCACTACGGAACTAGTTCATATATTAAGACCGATAGTCTATCGATACTTTGTGCTAAAGTTACGTCCAAATCGAAGCTGATTGAGTACAAGTACGCTATGTGAATACTTTAAGGAAATGTATTGCGATATAAGAGTGAATATAATATTCTTTGTTTAGATTTAGTAATGTAACTGCCCTCTATTGGGTTCTATTAGGTTCATTTCAATAACAATGTGAACATAAATTGTTGCCTCATTAGCATACTAGCCTGAGCTCCAGTCAAAAATGGTTGTATCGATAGTAGATATCGATAGCACACATCACATCTCTAGTTTTGTTTTGGTCAACAAATGGAGCAGGCGGAAGGAAGTGGAATTGTTGGTGAACCTGTGCCCACATTTGGTAGAAAGGATGCCCAAATAGTGAAACCCACGCATAACACTGCCATTAAATGCTTGAAGTGCGCGAAAGTGTTTATATTCCCCGCTGACCGGGACGATTGCCTGGCGCACTTGTACCTCGAGCATCGTCTGGTCATTGCAGATGTGGAGGACATAGCGCTGCTGGAGGATTACCTGCAATACTGGGAGAAGGAGTTCCAATGTAAATATGCTTGCTTACATATATAAAGTTGATTTTAATTCATTTGTTGTTGGCTAGCTCATGAGTTCGAACAATACTGTACGACAATGTTTCTGGATCAGCTGCCTGACGGTACCTACTCCAAGAACGAGAAATATTACCTGCTCTGTGATATATTGCCGCAGGATTTTGAGCTGCGCAAGCTGCTGCAGAAACAGCGCTTGACTGCTGCATTGGAGCGTCACCAGTTCGAGCTAACGGATCGCAGCTTCAGCAAGGAGTGCCTGTTTTGTCGCACTGTCATCAAAGGTCTCCGCGCCGACTACTTGGATCATTTGTTTGACAGGCATTTTCTGCTTGTGGGCAAGCCTGAGAAGCTGGTCTACGTGGATGAGTTGCTCGATCAGCTCGAGGAAAATTTAAACAAATTGATGTGTCTGTACTGCGAAAAGATATTTAAGGTAGGCTTATAAATAATATGATATACAACTTTTAAACACTTTTGTGCATGCCCAGGATCGGCCCACGCTAAAGGAGCATATGCGCAAGAAGGGACATAAACGCATCAATCCCAATCGTCGCGAGTACGACAAATTCTTTTTGATCAATTATAATCGTACAGTTCCAGCTCCTGCGTCGCGCAAGCAGCCGCGTCAAAAACGTAAATCCCAAGGAGCGGAGGAAAATGCCAGCGTTGACTTTGATAAGCATTTTGCGCGGCAGGACTCGGATGGAGATTGTGATTCAGACTGGTCCGATTGGGCAGGTGATGGCGAGCCCCATGCCATTAAGTGTCTGTACTGTGCCCAGGAGGAGACTCAGTTTTCCACATTGAAGCAGCACATGCTTGAAGAGCATCGTCTGGACTTTGACGCCGTTACTAGCACCTTGAATTTCTATCAGAAAATTAAGGTTGTAAATTATGTGCGACGGCAGCTCTGCCTGCTGCGCTGCATGTGCTGTGATTTGCAATTTGATGAGTTCGAGCTGCTGGCCGAGCATATGGCTCAGGAGTCGCACTGTGGCATCGGCGAGCGTGCGAGCTGGGACAAACCCGAATTCTTTTTTCCCTATATGGATAACGATGGACTTTTGTGTGTGCTGGATGATAGTGCAGGCGACGATTTGGATGCGGATGTGGTGCGCATTATTTCTGAGGATAGCCTGGCGCAGATAAACAAGGATGCAGAGCGTTTGTCATTAGAGAATTTTAAATTGTGAATCTTAATTGCAAATAAAACCAAAATTATAAATTTATTTTAAAAAAATTGAAATTGGCGCTGAAAGCTTATCGATAATCAAAATATCGATATGTGCATGGCGTAACTTGGTTGCTTACAGGCGTACAGTGTTGTACAATGCAACAACTAAAGTGCAACGCGTTTTTGGTATTTTTGTGTGTTTTTGTTTTGCTAATTGCACTGACATCATTCCGCTTTCTTTGAGATATTTGCAAATCAGAATGGAAGCCCTTGACATATTGGAGAAAAGAATAGATTCGCTGAATCGTGTGCTCGGTCCACTGCCAGAATCATATGCTGGAGACGCCGACGGCAGCAGCACGGCAAAGACCGCGAATATTGTGGACACGCTCTGCTCAGCCAACGCCTTGTTGGGCGAAGCCACCACGGGACGCACACAGCTGCAGCAGTGCGTGGGACGTGCAGCGGAGCTGGAGAAGTATCTGGATCCTAATTTCTTGGAGGATCATCAACAGGTGCGCACCAAGGAGGTCTATATAAATGCAGTTGCGCCCGAGCTATACGCCCAGAGCGAACAGCTGGAGCGCATCAAGCAGCTAGAGCCGGCGCTGGGTGCGGAATACTTTCGCAGCATACCCAGCGAGTGCCTAGACAAGCTCAAGCAGATCACCGATAACAACGGCGAATACGCGCAGCAAAGCGAACTGATCGAGGAGAGCCTTATATTGGCCATGAAGCGATATGGCGAGATTCAAGCGGGCCTGCTCAGCTCATTGGATGCGATGAACGAGCGCCTTGACCAGGTCGAGCAGCGCATGGAGCAACAGAAACGTGCCGACCTCACAAAGGATGTGCCCCCAAAGGACTGAGTGCTAAAATTGCTGAAAGTATTTAACCTTAGAAATTGTTCCACTTGTCGCCTTTAAGATTTTTATTTCATACGCTAGCACAATACACGAACCTATTAACTAAAACTAGAGCTAAACTAGAACTTAAATTTGTGCTGGTTAAGTGTTTTCTTTGTATAAGAAAATCCCTTGTCAATGCTGGCAATTGTGTTGACACTTCTTATGCCCTTGCAGAAGGTATTATACATTTGTACAGAACGTGTATAGAATCTATCTTTATATATCTCGGTCTGCATCAACAGATGTATTAATATATGCAAGGATTGGAACACTATATCATATAGGTTCCATTAATGTGATTGAGTGGAAGTAAAACTGAGTTCTTGGATAAACAACTTGTTTGTTTTTCCAGATATCTTTACCAAACTTTAAAAGTGTGATATGCTCGGAAATATTTAAAATCGGAAGAGTATATCAAATATCTACCTTAGACTTGAAATGTAGTGGATCAGAGTAAGGGTATTGGGTCTGCGGCACTCCAAAGATAACCGTTCTTTCTTGATAGTCTTATATGGTTCTTAAAGCTAATACTAATTTAACCGCTCTTCAAAAGCGCAGTTCATTGCGCTGAATTTGCTCGTAGATGGACTGCGTCAGTGGCGCATAGCTGCCATTGGGTTGTGCATAGTAGAGCTCATCCTCGATGGCGGCTGGATTGAAGCCCTGCTGCTGCAGCTCCACCTTGCGCAGCTTGAACGTGCCGGTCAGGTCGATGCGACGCAGGAAGCGCAGAAATATCGGACGCGCATAGCTGGGCAGTGCTGTGGCGAGTTCTGCACCCAGCTGGGAGACATTTACCTCCCGCGTGGGATCATAGATGGCTGCCATGCCGGCGCGTCCCTCTGTCTGGGGTATGCACACGCCATACACAATGGTGTCCTTGTAGCTGATCAGATTGCTCAGCTGTGCCTCCACTTCGCTGGTGGAGACATTCTCGCCCTTCCAGCGGAAGGTGTCACCCGTGCGATCCTTGAAGAACAAATAGCCTCGCTCATCGGCAACCAGCAAATCACCCGATATGAATGCCTTGTCGCCCTTGCAGAAGACGTCGTGCACAACCTTCTTGGACGACGCTTTGGTATCCACATAGCCCAGGAATTCGCGGCACGGATTGCCCTTCACAATTTTGCCTATGAACACGCCCGGTTCGTGCGGCGCACACAGCTCGCAGAGACCCTTCTCGTTGCGTATGGGCTCACCGGTGTGAGGATCGGCGCGTATTATGGATATGGGATACACCTGGGGCAATATGCGCGAGACAAAGCCAATGGCGCCCACAGTGCTGTCATTGTTCATGATGTTCGCATTGCCCTCCGTGGCCCCATAGAACTCACCCACCTTGGCTATGTTGAAGCGCTCCACGAACTGTGTCCAAATCTGCGGTCGCAGCCCGTTGCCAAAGACCATGCGCACCTGATGCTGGCGATCATGTGGTGCCGCCGGCGTAGCCAATATATAGCGCGCCATCTCGCCAATATACTGGGCAATCTGCAAAGGAATTGTGGGCATAAAACCAGCAAAGGGAGCTGCGCAATCTGTATGCTTACCGTGCAATTAAAGCGGGCGCAGTCCGCGAAATAGCCCGAAGCACTGAATTTCTTGCGTATGACCACCGTGGAGCCAAAGAGCAGCGCCTGGCCCATGCTCATGATGCCGCCAGCCGTGTGGTAAAGCGGCAGCGGTGTGTAGAATACGTCATTGTCCCGAAAACCCAATGTAAAGTGTATGCCAGCGGCTATAAAGAAGTAGCTGCAAGGACAGACAAATATTTAGGTAGGTAGGTTTATGGAAGCTGTTATAATTCTCAATCGGTTATAATTTGAAAATCTAAAGAGCTTTGTTTTGCTCGGGGAACGTGCTCTTCAAGCTTACCGTGCGTGCGTGATGACAGCTGCCTTGGGCAATCCTGTGGTGCCCGATGTGTAGATATATAAAAGCTTATCCTGATGATCGGCACGGCTAGCGCCAGCGGCTACCTTGTCCTTGGGCGCCGAATCGAGCAGTGCGTTGAGCTGTTGTGCCAGACCCTGTGTAAGACCGTCCGTTGTTTCCGTGGAATTGGCCACATCATTGAATTGATAGAGCGCCACATGGGCGGGTAGATCCTTGGCTATGTCCATCACCGCCGATCTGTAGCTGATGCCATAGATCAGAGCCGTGCAATTGCCCACTTTGACGCTGTGCTGCAGCGATGCGCCGCGAAGATTTGTATTGATCAGGGGCGTTATGATGCCTATCTTGGACAGTCCCAGCCAGGTGGCCACGAACTCGGCGCGATTCTCCAGCAGCAGGCCCACCACATCGCCCTTCTTGTAGCCGTGACTGTGGAACACGTTGGCCACGCGATTCGCGTGCTCGTTTAGCTGCCGGAAGGTCCACTTCTGCGACTCACTGACTATGGCCAGCTTGTCCGGCTGTCGCGCCACATTCGCCTCAAAGATGTCGCCCACGTTGAGATTCTTGCGCTCCTGTCCCTTGATAAACAGCAAAACGCGAATGTAGGCAATCAACGCGCTGCAAAGAAAGACATCAATATCTAACTGGATCAAGTGCATCCACTTGGGCTTACATGGTGTCCCGTGGACCCGTGACTGCTGCTATATAGAACCAGCGCCAGCCCGGCTTCACCAGCAGCAACACCACCAAACTGCCATAGAGCGCAGCCAATCCGTACCAGTTACCCTCATAATACCAGACCAGAGCAGTGGCCGCACTTAGAACTGGAACCAAGAGGGCCAGCAACAGCCAGCTGCAACAGTTGCCCTTTTTCTTGGTATCAACTTTGGTATGACCCATGCTGATCTGCACATCTGTTGAAGTTGTCTGTAAGAAATTGTAGAATGGTTTCTATAGTACCTATAAATCCAAGTTCAATTTCTAGTAATTAGAACTCAGGCTCTATAAGAGCATGAGCTGGCAAGTTGGGAGCTAAATGGAAATCATATTGATTTTGATCTGTTTTTAATATACCTAGCTCATTGCAAAATATCCGAACAGCTTAGCTTGTTTTGCAAGACTTAAGGCAATTATACATTTTTAAATGAAAAAAAACACTGTCACCTGTTCCTAATAAAATCTTTAATCTCTTGAACCTCTCACTCAACACTAGATAAACATGTTTTCATAACTTATTTCTCGAGACTGGAAAATTTGCGCACAATTTCTTTATACCCTGAACCCATTGAAAATGAGTAAAAGGGGTATAATGTATTTCAGCAAATGTATGTAACAGGCAGAGGGAAGCATCTCCGACCCCATAAAGTGTGTATTTGATTGATCAGTAACAATAACCGAGTCGATCTAGCCATGTTCGTCTACGAGTTTGTTTCCAAGAAACGATAACTTGCCCTGTTTACAAGCAATCGATAAAAATCGATATCGAAATCTTGTTTTTAAGCAAATCTCTTCAGGAGCTAGAGTCAGCAAACTTGACTTGTTTACTCTAGAATAGTGTATACATATCCTTCATTTTATAGCTATCGTTTGTTTTTTAATAGAAATTCAATTCTCAGCGTGGCTTTGAGGTATGAGGCAGTGCAATTTTTCGGTTACTTATAGGAAGTTGCGAGTTCGACTCTTCAAGTGGGAACCTAGTTTTTGTTAAAGGTTTTATTTTTTAATGCATTGAAGAGGAGTGCGGAGCGAAAACTGCCTTTGGTGTTGGTAGAAAGTTCAGGGTATCCCCTAGTCGGGCTCTCCCGAATAGAGAACTCTTGTTTTCCTTCATAATAATTATATTCAGATATCTTTTAAAGTATTTTTAGATTTAATAAAGGTAGGCTTTACATTTTAAAATAGTTCGTTTTCATTGATAGTCGTAGTTTTTATAAAAATGTAAAAAACATTTCATAATTTCTCGAAGCATAGTTAAAAAGTCGATTCGCATGACATCAAGCTCAACAATCCGGACTGGTTGTTTTGCATAAAGTAATTAAAGGTTGTACATTTTTAATAAGCAAAAATTGTCGCCTGATCCCAATAAAATTTGTGATCTTTAAACTATTAAAGGTCAAGACAAACATGTTTTCATATTCGTCTGATCACAATATTTGCTCGCCGATTTTTATTTCTCAACTTGAAAATGGTGCAAAACAAAGGCTAAAGTCAAGTATAACAAATAGTTCATATTGTTCGTGAATATAAAAAACTTAAATTTTTTTCATAACAAACATTTTATCAATTTTTGACATTTATTGCATTTAATACTTGGAAATGGAGATGAATCGAACAGGGTTTTTCAAAGAGAACAATAAAATAGTTTATAATTTTTAACACACTTCATAACCTTATTTTTTTTTAACAATTTGTGTCTTTATATTTTAAGCATATGCGGTTTGTTTTTCGTTTGTTGCTGCTAATTGCCAGTTGTTCAATTTGCACATAAAATCTTTTGCTCAATTTGCCGTATTATTTAATCAATTAGCGCTTTATTTGCACAAATTGTTTATATTAGCAAATTTGTGCGGCACATTGGCCTCTAATTATCAAATCGGTGCCCGATGCGGTTGGAGATCTCTTTGAAATGCATCATCGCCCTGCGCTGGGCATCGGCTGCCAGCTTATTGGACAGTCGTATGAGCAGGCAAATGGTCAGGGCCGCGGTCAGCCCCACCAAATAGAACAGTACCTGGACATGGAGGGGCACATCCGTAAGCTGATTGCAAGCAAATGCTGAGCTACAATTTACCTTGTGCCAGATAGTGAGGCGTACGGGGTTAGGCGTGTCGCATCCATCCTCAACTAATGGCACGTTGTCGGTGCTTTTCATCATGGTCTCCAAATATTTGGCTGGCCTTATGACTGTGTCAGATTCTTCACACAAATATCACAAGCTTTACAAGCTGTGTTTCCAAATTCAACTGCTTGATGCTTAAATCTAGGCCAATGAGAATTATCGAGTATTACTTCTATAAACGAACTATAGCCTATGCTTCAAATTTGATAACAGAACTAACATGTTTTTGATCATATAAAATGTATTATGAAAATATTGAAAAATAGAAGCATTAAACAATATATGTCATATAATAGATTAATCATCATCATTTATTCTTGAGCTATTTTAATGTCTTTTTATTTTGTCTTTTATCCATAATTGAATAAAATTTGTATAACATAGTTATTATATGTTATTCTTGAACATTTTGGAACCAGCTAAGCCGTAGATAGAAAAAAATTAGTTCAATTTTGCATGTATTTCTAAGAATCTTAGACAGATTTATAACATTTAAACAAATTTATAGTATATTTATATTTAAAGATATGCGGATGTCAGTATGATATAAGTTAAATCTTGAGTGCCGACTATTTGTTCTTTATTTGCAAGAAGATTTGTTTTCGTATTCATTATGTGCCCACCATAAATTAAGCGTAAAGTCAACAGCATTTTATTTCCTTATAAATGATATACCTAAGTGTTTAATCTGCTTTTACCATTGCGATCTTCAACACGCTCAACAAACAGCAGCTATCGATATTCGGGTAGCTCGGATCTATCAGTAAATGTTTGGCAAGCAAACTGAATGCAAATGGCTACTCCAAAGATCTCAAGATAGCTCTTAAATTTCCTTAAACTGTACAACACTCTAAGTACTTTGAACGGCACCCAACGTAAGATGGGCGTTATAAAAAATAGCCATTCTGTCAACAGGTTTAGTGTTGACCTACGCCATGGACTTGACTTTCAAACCGAGTCAACCAGTAAATATACGACATTTATAATTATGATGTGACTGAGCTACATGAAACTTGTTTCTCATTCAAATCTGCGGCTGCGTACTATGATCGATGTATATCGTAGTATAAGGCGACTGCGTGTACATTTCTGCCGCATAAAAAGTCAGCGAAAACAAAACAGAAATCAAAACAATTAAAAGTGCGAAAGCTGGCAGGCTTAGACATAGAGATACCCTGTAACTAGGTCTTGAAATGGTCTTGACTATAGTACTTTATTCTTAGAATCTTAGGGCAGAAAAAGTTGATGGAATAGTCTATGGAATAGGCTAAATATCTTAAAATATGTAGTTGTTTTTAGAATTTATATATTGAAAGTGGTATCTATAAATTTATATTTTATATATATTCGTTTATATAATTGAAATTGGTATCTATATATGAGCTCAAAGCATTCTGTCAAATTAAAGTTTTTGAATCGATAAAACATTAGACCTAGTATGTTGAGGAAGTCTTCTATCACCTGTTACATACGGCAGCTATTATTGATGAAACTCGTTTACCCAATTTTCTGGTAACAGGGTACAAGAAAAGCATCCGAAACAAAACTGGTTTTGTAGATTGTGTCTTTTGTGGCAGCGAACTCAGGTTGGTTGGTTTCAGATCAAGCACAAAAACCCAAAAATGTTAATAATAAGTATACGTCCATCTATAGTTTACCTGCGTGGAGTTCAAGGCTGTCGCACCGTGGTCAGGGCCAACAGCATCATTCATTTTGAGATTCGATGTCAGCCAGTCGATGTAACAGTCGGTTAACAGGGAAGCGAACAGTGTTGATAAGCGCCAGCTAGCTGCGGGTAATTAAGTTGGCAGTTGTTACTTTTTTGTAGTTTGTTGTTTTTGTTTTTCGTTCGTTAATTTGTTACTTTTAAAATGAAATTGTGAGTAATTAGGCGCGAGTGAGATGGGAATTGCAATTGTGGCAAACTGACACAAAGAAAAATCGCCTTTTTTTTGTTTATTGGTTTTGGTTTTGCCGTTGACTGGCACTGGAAATGGAACTGGAGGCTGCGATTGGTGCGTTTTCTATTTTTGTTTGGCTCAAGGCGAGTTTTATTTTTGGGGTTTTGGGTTCGGCGTTCGTTAGCTGCGGTTGACTATTGTCGCGAGCTTTACGCGTGTTGGTAATTGTTGCCATTTTGCATAAGCGGATGCAATTTCAGCGACTCATTAAATGGCTTTTGCCGGCAACACGTATATGATCTTATGGCATCGCAACTTGAATTATATTATGCGTATTAAAATTATCTTAATGGATGATTTTGTTGTTGTTTGCTTGAGCAGCTAAGCAAAAGGGGTGCTTGAGATGCACTTAGGGGAATTTATATGATATGTCTCTGAAAGGCAATCAACAGCAAGCCTTAGGCACACCTTTAACTTGAAGCACTTTCCAACACATTTTGTATAATATAGACGAATCTTGAAGAGTTACTTCTATTATTTATTGCTTGTATTTGGAGTTGAAAGCAAGTTTAAGCCTAGTAAAAGAATTATAATAGTTAAGTGTTTGTTGTTTAGCGTTAGACAACACTTTACCCTTTACACATAAGTGTGCATACATTTGAATTTCATTCAGTTGAATAGGATTTTAGCATATTGTAGCTAATTACTAAAACGTTTTAGAAACAAAAGCGTGAATCTTAAGAAAATATCATATTTCTTGTTTGTAGTTTTGAAAAATGATCAATCATTAAAAATGTAATAAGTACATTACACTCATTAATTAAAAAGCAAACTAAAAACACTAAAAAGTGTTGAGTAACTGTGTTAAGTAATTATAGAATTGTATTTTATTTAAATTTATTTATTACAGTTTTAGCTATTTAATGAATCATTTAGAAAAAATCTATTTTCAATGTTTGTTTGTTTGTTTTTTCTTTTCTTTTTCAGTGTTGGGCAGTGTTCATGGCCTAATTTCCTGCTTTATTTTATGTAGTTGAAGATTTAGGGATTTTTTTAAATAAAAAAATATCAAAATATCTCAAAAGGGCTGCTTAAACATCAACTCTTGCTCGTTATTGACTAAAAAGTTAGTGAAAAGTTTTGACTCTTTGTTATATTTGCACAAGCAAACATTCAGTTGTGGTTGTTATTGTTTCCTTGTTGCAGCTACCACCATAATTATGAGACCCAAATCCCAGTGGCAGCAACATAAACAACAGCCACAACCGCCGCATTCATCACAGCAAGCCTCTTCAATGATGCTGATAATGATGATGAGGCATCTTCACTTTCACTGAGCTTTTTTTTTTATATTTGTTTTATATTTTTCTTTCTCTTGTTTCACTCTTGACGTTTTTTGCACTTTATCTGTGGCACAGTCCAATAATTTCGCCAAGGTTCAGAAATGATATTAGAATCTGAACAGAAAACTTTCATATAATGTATTACGCAGCTTTGTGGCACGCACTTTTGTTGCACGTTCAGTATCCGTTAGGTTTCAGTTGTTGCCGCCAATTTAATGTTGCATCTTTTGTGCTCGATTTGCCGGTCGCGTCTTTAGGCCAGCAGCTCAGCTCGTCAACTGCGCCCAAAAGCCGCGGCCAAAGCTAAAGCCGTTGGCTTGAAAAAGGCAGCGCGTGCTGCCGGCGTCGACGTCGACATCGAAGTCAGCGTCGGCAACAGGTTGACGTTAACTCGGCCACACAGCTGCACTTGTGTATGTGTGTGTGTGTGTGTGTGTGTGTGTGTGTGTGTGTGTGTGTGTGTGTGTGTGTGTGTGTGTGTGTGTGTGTGTATGCGTGTGCATTGTTATTATAAGTATCTCAGATACAATTTGATTGCTAGCTTTGATTGACGTTTCAGCTCTTTGCCTGCATATTTTCATATTGTTGCACGCACGTGCAAATTGCTCACTGCAAAAATACCCTGTAATTAGTGGGTAAATCGATGTTGTGGTTAGTTATGCAACAGTTGATTGCAGCACGCTTAGAATTCAGCTTTTATTATTTAAATTATCTCTTTATGGAAAAAACCTAAAATTGAAAAACACGTTTTAGCTAGAATTATGCGGATTTTTATTCGATTTTGGTGATTTCCGAGTTTTTTCATCAATATTATATGTTAAACTAGTTAATTTAATTAATTATTTTTTTTTTTTAGAAAACTTATATAATATGAAAGTTATTATTTAACCGTTTATGTCTGTTGATCATTTGTTGAAATCCTTAAACTTGAAACAAGGTTTCTAAGGAAATTGAAACACGTGCGAATGGAAAGTGTGAACTTTTTTTTGTATCGATAAGGATATTTCTCTTTGATATTAACCAGATTTTTAATCTCTAAAAGCTGATCTTTCTTTTTAACAAATGTTCCTGAAATATAACAGAGTATTCTAGGATCGACTATATACTTTTTTTGCATTCTAGCAGATCGTTTATTTTTTATATGTTTGTCTCTCGCAGGGCAATTGCAGTTAACATTTCAGCAAGGGGCGTAAAAACGCACGTCGACAATGTCGCTATTAAATAAAAAGAACGAAAGACAGAGGGAGGGAAGGGAACGAGAGAGGTGGAGAGAGAGACGAAAGGAGAGTGCCAAAGAAATTTCTATTAGAAATTCTGCACGCAGCATATTAAGGGCAGAGCGAGGGCGGAGCAGGGGCAAGACGCTTGCATTTAATTCGAAACACGTGTTTTACTCTGCACTCTTTAGCATTTATTTGTTGTCTTTTCGATTCTCGCTCTCTCCCTCTCTCTGCTCTTATACAAACAATTCATGGGTTGCGTAGTCGCAGCTCCACACAGCCGCAGTGGTTGGGGGAGAGGGGTCTGCCACCCCTCTGGTCATGCGTTTCTGTGCAGACAAGTGCAACAGCGTGCAGCAAAGCTTTGAATTTCCATACACTCAAGATTACATATATATATACATATGTATATGTATACACGTATATATAGGTATGTATATGTATACTGAATTGCATTACTTAGCTAAATTGTCTCAAGATTGGAGCACAAATGAACTGTAAGCACTTATGGAGATTTTTGGAACGGGGTTAAATGTAATTGCACAACACTTTTCGGAGTTTTCGGGAGAACGGTAAAAAGTCTTATACATATCCACATATATATCGTATATCGTATTATTTCAATATTTTGGTATTTTCAAACACTCAAAACTCTCTTTAAAAGTTTACTAATTAAATGTTGCAGCTGCAGCTCTTTCTGTTTGCGTGAATTTTGAGTAAGATCCTCACTTTTGTCTGCTAACAAATTAACTTTATAAAATAGGTTAAATATAGTTAAAATAGGCAAAAACAATTTGACAGCTACCAATTACTGTAGGTATACTTAACGCTATGTCTTCAAAGCATCCCACACTTTTGTAAAACATAATTTCACATATGCTTATTCTAAACAGAAAATAGATTTGAATTGATCAGTTTATTTATCGTCACAGTGCTTTTGCCCGTGATTCATTTGCCGGGTTTTCTTATCTGTTTTTTTTTTAAATGCCATATCTTCTAAGTCTAGCTACAACAAACCGCTTTGTCGAACAGTGTTGTAAAGCCAATTAGTAGGAAAAAAATCTTTTATAAAAGTGTTTGTAATTATTTTGCGAAATGTATTAAGCGTGCATTTATTTAGGAATATAAAATAAATAGTTAGCTAATATGCTTAAATTATTTATGATTAAATTTATATTATTAAATACATTATTTTTAATAATGCATTTATTGCTTTTTAAGAGGAAACTGTGTGCAGCTAATTAAGACATGTGCCAACTAATTATAAACTAAACGAGTTTTAATAGAAATAGATACATATAAAAAAATGTCCTTCTTCAATCTAAAAAGTAAAGACTTGTTTTTTAGTAATGCTTATTTCGGTTTGTTTAATTATTGTATCTAATTTATATGTAATTAGGTTCCTTTCAAGGAAAAATGCAACATATTTTCTTAAATTTAAATATTTTGTATTTGAAAATAATTCTCTTATCAAATATTTCAATTGCAAAAACTATTTTGGTTGCATTCAATTAGCAAGTTAAAATTGATGGTTCGTCGCTTCTGGAGAACTCCAAAATCGACTTACTTTAAAGTTTCTTTAATAGCATTTAAATACTTTCGAAATTTGTAGTTTATTTAGTTTTGTGTTTACCCATCGGATATCCCTCTGGAAATATACCTGCTTAACATTGGCATCATCTTTCAGCAACAACTTTCAATGGCAACTCATGCATGGGCACTAAGAATTTTTATAGCTATGCCAATCAACAGTACCCCGACCCTATAGATACTATAGCCATATGTATATATATATATAAGTGTATATATAACAAGGCTGCACAGAAATGCCCGACTTTCAACGGACTTTTTCACACATTGCCGGGACATAAATGTGTCTGTCCGTGCAAAAAAATAAGTGCAGTCGGGTAGATATACATAAATATATATGTGAATATATATAGCATATGAGTTTCTATATAGGGCTGTATATATATAAATACGTACCCTTCGGCGTTGGCCTACGCCCCTGCCTCGCCCCCTTTGTTGCCTTGCCTTGTGTGAAACACTTGAGCGTCGCTGTTGTTGTTGTTGCTGTTGCTGCTGCATTTTGTCAAGTGGATTCTTTGGTCTGAGATCATTAAAATAACATCGTTAGTGCGCTTATAATGAAGTACTAAACAGCAAATCCAAAAGAGACAACAAAATATTGTCAAGTGGCTGGCTGGGCTGGCATGTTTTATGTCTCCGCGCTTGGCACATGATTAGTTTTAGAGACCCATTGACGCCGCGGTTCCAGGCCAGCGCCAAAGCAACATAAATGTAATACGAATTCAAATT